GTGATTTAAGTACAATATTTGCATAGTTGGGGTACTTAAATGGAATTATGCTTTTGTAAAAGCATTTGAATGGTAATAATTTCAATGCTGGAATTATTGGTATTAAGAATCTAAGTGATAAAATAGTGAAGGACCATTTTGTGTAAATTGGAAAAGTTGGTTCCAACGTTAAAAGGAATTAATAAGTGTTAAAGTATTTGGTGGTAAATAGTTTCAAGTATGATTATGGAATTTATTTTGGAAATGTATTTATGTTAGTACAATACTAACATATATATAGATATGAATCTATATTTTTTATAGATCGTGATTTACTCGGTGTTCAAAGAAAGTCAAGTATAAAAAGGGTTTATTGTGAAACATAGTGAGGCATATATTTTGAAAGATATAAAGTGTCAAGGTGAGTGCAATACATGCATGACATTATACATGGATGTTTTATACATCATCAGGAAGACTTGTGATAAGTCGACCTTGTTTATATCAGCATGTTATTATGTCATATTTTTATAAATTGACATGACATTGATATGTCATAGTGTGAAATTATAATGCATTGATCATGAATAATGTGATAATTTACCATGAATATTATTTCGGGTGTGAACTGTCCAATGTTAAATGATATTGATATACTTTGCCATGGATGGATCAAATAAAAATAAACTACATACCCAAGTAGGTTATTGAGGATCAGTGGTATTAATGGCATGCCATAGAGTCTAGCAGCTGCATATTAGGTAGCACTAAAGTGTCTAGAGAAGGCACATAGTGCAAGTCTCAAACTGTCTAGTGAAGACACGGTACAAAACACTACGGTGTACAAGGTGGGTAAAACCCGACATCAGCACTACGGTGCATTATTAGGTGAGCAAAGCTCGACCTCATCATTTCGGTGCAATATTTGACTCTTATATCGGGTTATTCACACTGTTATACTTTGAGTTATGGTTTATTGGTTAATAAATGGTAAACATGAAAATAATGCTTACAAGCTTATGGAATAATGGCAAGTATATTGGTAAAATAAGCTTACGAGCTTATGGAATAATGGCAAGTATATTGGTAAAATAAGCTTACGAGCTTATCGAGTAAATGGTAAGTATATTGGTAAAATAAGCTTACGAGCTTATCGAGTAAATGGTAAGTATATTGGCAAAATAAGCTTACTAGCTTATGGAATAAATGGTAAGTATATTAGTAGAATAAGCTTATGAGCTTATAGGATAAATTATATGAAATTTTATAACATTTTTTATCATTGTAGAATATTGGATATGTTAGTAACATGATTTTATGGCATTTTGAAATTGACATTGAAATTCATGCATGAATTGTATTACATTGTTTATTGTTTTAATTGCCTCACTAAATATATACTTAGCGTGTGATGATTTTCACGTGTAGGTAAAAAGCTAGTAGTGGAATAAAGAGTTCAAAGTGACATCAAGCATCAGAGAGTATATTTCAATATCAGTAAAACATCCTATGATGTAATGTTGACTTTGTTAGTGGCACGTACTTATTAATGTTTTATTTGTTTTGTTGAACAAATTTGGAAACAAAATGGAAATTTTATAGTGAAGAAAGGTTAAGTTTTTATGAGTTTTATATATTTTTTGCTGAAATTACTGTAGCAATTATGTAGTAGTGAACAGTACCAACGCTTAAAAATTTCCAGAATGATACAGGGGTATCGATACCCTGCTACAGGTACTGATACCATCACTATTCACTGTTCACGATACTATTCATAAAAAATCTTTTGAATTAAATTTGTTATAACGAAACATAATTCATATGATATGATATTTTTATAATATCAGTTACCATTTTAAGAAAATAAATTTAAATCGATTTTGAATTGGAAAATGGTTTTAGAAATTCGGGTGACATTTATAATCTGTATAGGTATAATTGTACAGGTTATGGGTGTTACATTGAGGGGCAAGGCACTTGGTGGTGATCAAAGAAAGAGAGCTTTTGTAAAGTTATTTTGAATCTTGATTTTTATTGTGAGGAAATATGGGATCCTTAATTGAGCTTTAAGTGGATATGTTCTTGTGACACATGCTAGTGCATAAATAACCTATAATGACTTGTATTATGCTTTGATTCATGGATGAATAATAAAATGATGAGTGTTGATGTTAGATTATATGTTATGCAATATATTCAAGTATGCCTTGAGTGACCAAAAGATGGTTTATGCCCTTACCAAGTATTTAGACCATTTAGACAAGTGGCAATAAGTGAACATAACATGTTAGGCCTTTAGGACGCATGAAATGACCAATAATGCACGAAATGGTTAGGTGACTTATGTTTAAGTTGACTTTATATGCAATATTTTACTTTGGATGCTAAATACTTGTATGTTATGTTAAATGATGTTATGAAGCATGCCACATATGTATCATGATAAGTTCTAAGTTGTTCAAGTGTGTCCAAGCATGTTCATAGACCATAGGATTGATTGCATGGAAGTTTGGTGGTTTGTTCTTGCATGTTCATATGAAATGCATTTTCCAAAAAAAAAGATCGGTCCCTTTTGAGAAAGGATCGATCCTTTTGAAAAGGGATACATCCCTTTTGGAAGTTTAGTTACTATTGTGCAAAGGATCGATCCCTCGTGAAAAAGAATCAATACCTTCATTGTTTGCTCTATAAAAATAGGTAAAATTTCATTCATTAAAGACATAAAGTGTTCCTTAAGTCCTTGGATGGTCCCTAAACTTTAGATTGTATTCAGTTTGGTTCAAAAACTTGATTTTACAATTAAAGCTTTGTTTTAAGTTGGATTTTATTGAAATTTGTTATAGAACTCTATAATAACAATAATTTCATAATGGAACCTTAAATTTCATATTTTTGGTTTATTTTCATATTTTTAAAAGTTTACCATTTTGGTCTCTAGATTGATTATGTTCAATTAGGACCCTATATGGTGTCTGATTAACCTAAAAAATTTCATGTCACTAATTAGTAACTAATTTGGACTAATGGTAATCTCAATTCGGTATTTATTTGTTTGATTGTTAGGATGATGTGAAATGTTCGTTTTACCGATGTTTGAATTACAACATTGTTTGGTAATGTATTGACGCTTGTTAATTGCTAAACTATAATTAGTGCTATGCTACCACACGTTATTAATGTGCAATTTTAAATTGTATGCTTCTGTATAGTGCGTATGTTTAGGATTTTGTTTGTCCGACATGATCGAAACCTAATGTACGCTTAAGTATCCAAGTCTATCTTCTAGACCGAGTATGGGCATTACAAATTCTAGTATCTATAATTGGTATCAATACTCAAGGAGTATTGATACAGATTAGAGAAGAAGTATCGATACTTCACATAGAGGTATTAATATTGTAAGACTTTCTTAAAGTCTTGTAGCCAAATTTGATACTGGTACCAAGGGTGAGTATCGATACTGAAAAGTCAGTACTAATATTGAAGGGTTTAGTATCGATACCATCGTACTGATTTGGAAAAGAAGCCTAACTTTGAGTTAAAGACTCGAGAAAGGGTTTAAGGCCTCTGAAACCTCTCACTAAAGTTTACAAGTGAAAATATCGATTAAATAATGTGATAATAATAAGAACCTTATGAAGTAAGATTTTATAAGACTTATACCTTTATTTGATACTCGGGATAGTGGATATACCTTAAATAGATGGTTTAGTAGTAGACTAAGGGAAACATGAGACTCGGACTCTCATGATAGTGGATATACCTTGAATAGATGGCTTAGTAACATTGATGGCATAGTAGTATTGCTTCTCTAACTGCACTTATTAGCGTGTTTATTTTATGAATGCATGTAGTATGATAAAGGTATTGTGTGGCGCATGGCTTGCAAGCTCAATGTTGGGAATGTGTTTCCATTTTTAGGTTTTCAGGTTTCCTGAAGTGTAATGGGACATTGATATTATCGAATGAGTCTCAGTAGAGTACCTAAGTAAAATGATGATGACTTAGTGGGCATATAGAGGTCATGATTTGAAATGAGTCAATTTATAATATTTTATTTATTTATTTATTTATTTTATCGAGATTTTAAATTGGGGTCACGCTTTTTTAAATTGTTACAGTTTCATACCTTGTGTAAATATTTTAAAAATGTATATGGTTTTAACGAAAAATGATTAGTCACTTCGGTGATTTCGTGGCATTCGAATAGTGGGATTTGGGTGTTACAATGGTATTACATAACTTAACAATGACATCTCATCACTTCAAACGTGCCAAATCATATTTTTGTGATTGGGATAACAATACTTAACACCCGAATGATTGATTCTTTATAAATAGATAACGTTGATGATTGTTTTATCATTTTTTAAATTTCAATACTAAAAAAAGAAACTTAATAATACTTTAGTGACCATTTATATAATGTACTCTTATCTTTAAAAGACGAAACACTTTAAAAATATATTTTAATTTCTATCTTTTGGTATAATTATTTGTATCAGATCTATTGATTGATTAATATGGGTCGGATATTACATTGGTAAGGATAACATTCTCAATTCAATTTGCTACATTTATAAACGTCAGGATTCAAACATTTAATATTACTCTAAAATATATTTCGAACCCAGTTTACTCTGTCTTTAGTAGTGTTGTAGATGATATAGATGAAGACAGAAAACTTTAAAAATATAATTCAATTTATAATTTTATTATTGAATCAAAATAAAAATTAATCAAAATAAAAATTTAAACTTTAATTAATTTAAAAATCATAATTAAAAGTTATTTAATTCAACTTAAATTTTCATATATATTTCAGTTCGATCAAATGTTGATAATTTTAAAAAATTCAATTAATGACTATTTGTTTAGTTTATTAACCAAACCTCTGTCGTTTGAACGTTTGCTTTGCTTACCTCACTGTCGGTACTTGCGACCAAAACCAGTAGATCCATTCTTCATTCGCTATTATTATTACCCACAAAAATATACAAAGACTAAGATACCTCTTCAATTTTTTATCGTTTCTGAGAAGACTAAAACCACTAGCAAACACTTCTTTTATGCATCGAAATATGTGAATATTTTGGGTCACCTGAACCAAGAAAATTACTAGTTGTTGGAGGAGGGAAAGCCCTTCACCCATGGATATGCAGTCTCTTTGTAGACTAATCTTGCTACCAGCTCTGTTTTCAGTTGTCTTTCATCCATGTTCTGTCACTGCCGGTGATATTGTACACGACGACAATTTGGCTCCCAAGAAGCCCGGTTGCGAGAACGATTTCGTTCTGGTAATCATTAAAAAATTGCTCTTCAATATTGTTTTCTTTTTACCCAGATATCGTTTCTTTGTTTCCCAACTGGGTTTCCTTTAATTTTTTGTTTTTCTTGTTAAATTTGTTTGTGTTATGCTCTTCAATATTGTTTCCTTTTTCCCCCCTCCTACTTCAAGGACCAGAAGAAATGGAATCTTGAAAGCCTTGCAGTTGGTGTTTTGGTTTAATTTATGTTTATTTGTTTAATTTTTCTTGAATGCTCATATTTGGACTCTGTTGTATTATGGGGAGCTTTACCCTTGTTTTAGTTTGGTCTATTAATTGTCAATTTATGACGACTTTGTTAGGTCAAAGTTCAAACTTGGTTTAATGGCATAGAGGATGCTGAGTTTGTGGGTGTAGGTGCCAGATTTGGCACTACTATAGTGTCAAAGGAGAAAAACGCAGACCAGAGACGCCTTGTTCTTTCTGACCCTCGTGATTGTTGTAGCCCTCCAAAGAATAAGGTTTGTTTATTTGATATTGATGTACCCATACATTCATGTATTGTCATCATAACCCGAGAGTACGACAAATTTTTTAGAGATCATTAACCATTGCATAACTTTGATTTTGTTAGCTTGCTAATGATGTTATTATGGTGGATCGAGGCCACTGCAAATTCACAACCAAGGCAAATAATGCACAGGCAGCTCATGCTTCAGCTGTCCTTGTTATAAATAATCAAAAAGGTAATTAATGTTTTTGGTTGTCACTTGATGTGAGTTCAGGTTTCGAAATGCATTATTGAAAAATAACCAGGGTGATATTATTATTTTAACTGGAAACAATGATCATTTGTCATTACTCTGAATTTAACCCTTTTGGATTGCCGTGAATAAGCATGAGACTAGAAGTAATCATATTTTAGAATATTTTTTGGATAAATAGTTTGATATAAAAGGACATATTGGAGAACTTGTACATAGCTAAGGGTCAAGCCTGCTACTGCAGAACTCTACAAGATGGTTTGTGAGCCTGATGAAACTGATCTAGATATACATATACCTACTGTCATGCTCCCACAAGATGCTGGTGCAAGCTTGGAGAAAATGCTGACAAGTAACTTAACAGGTAAGTTTTCACTAAAATATTTGTTTTACTTAATTTTTATTTTCATCCAAATATACATTATCAATAACTTTCTGAATTCGCTGAGATTTTGCAGTGTTTGTACAGCTTTACTCTCCAAAGAGACCACTAGTAGACGTAGCCGAAATCTTTCTATGGTTGATGGCTGTTAGTACCATCTTGTGTGCGTCATATTGGTCTGCATGGAGTGCAAGAGAAACTGCTATTGAACGGGAAAAACTATTAAAGGTCACTTGCAGTTAATTTTACATTCTGCCCAATACAGCAAGTCTAGATCTGTCTCTGTATGCTTACAGCTATATTTTTATGCTTATTAATTTGTGGAGCTTATCTTGTCGATGCAGGATGCTTTGGATGAGATTCCAGATTCCAGACATGTAGGCTCCGGTGGTATTGTGGAAATTAGCACCACGTCAGCAATTTTATTTGTTGTTATTGCTTCTTGCTTATTGGTTATGCTTTACAAACTTATGTCTTACTTGTTTGTGGAGCTCTTGGTGGTTCTATTCTGCATAGGTGGTGTGGAGGTAGAACTTCCTTTCATGTCTGATTCCCAGCTATTTATTCATCTATGCATGCGTGCATATTCTATTTCTCTTAATTCATGTCCGAGTTTTGTTTTCACGAAATGTTTCTATGAACATTACCAATTTTTTCCTCACTTGTTCCAGATACTTATGCCTGCGATTTATGAGCATATAACTCTGACATTTCATGTATATGCAGGGCCTTCAAGCTTGCTTGGTTGCTTTATTGTCAAGGTATTCTTATGTTTCTTAGTATCAGTTCAGTATGTTGTGAGAAATTCGCATTCATGCTCATTCTGCATGTCCACATGTGGGTTATTGTTGATTGATTCTTGTATTGTTATTTTATTCTTGAAATAACTTGATACTGTCAGATATTACGAGAAGCTGAATAAAAGGATTAAATTTGAGAACTGTTTTGTTTATAATGTTGTTAACTTTAATTAATAAAAGGAGAAAAATGGTTGCAGTTCTGGGTATTTGATTTCTTGTCTGACTATGTAGCCTTCATTATTTAAGGCATTTGACTTGTTTTTTCAAGGCTGTGAATAAAATTTGCTCTCTGACAGGTGGTTCAAGTGTGCTGGAGAATCATACATTAAAGTGCCTTTCTTTGGAGCTGTCTCATACCTTACATTGGCTGTTTCACCTATCTGCATAACACTTGCTGTTGTTTGGGCTGTTTACCGCAATGTTTCCTTTGCTTGGATAGGTCAAGATATACTAGTAAGGATGTACTTTCGTGTTAAATGTCCTAACATATTTCAAAACTCTTTTCTTGCCCTAAATGTTCTTCCCTTTCACTTGGCAACACAATAAATTGTGGGTTCTGGGTGAAAGATAAAGGCTGGCTGGCAACCATGTTAACAACAGACAAGGAAATTTGATCGATGAGTCATATCATACTAAAGCTATGTGCTTCAGTATTTAAATTTGCCCATCTTAGTGTACCCTTGACACTTTATCTTGTTCACCTTCTTTCCCATAAATGCAGAAGATAGTTTAAATCAAGTTTATGTTTCAATTGATGGACGACAAGATTATCAAGTCATTGCTTGGCTAGAATATTAACTCCAAATAGCAGATTTAGAATGCTCTAATTTTTCATTGACAGAACTAGTATTACCTAATTTGCGGTTCACGTTGGTTCGCGGAACGGGCACTGGATTGCAATTTGCTATTTTCACCATTGGGGGTTTTGTTTGGAACAGATACTGGGATCATGATTCGTTGGGTGAGATAACTCGGTGATGACTTATTCAATATATAGATTAGAAATGGACTTTTCTCCTTCCATTGCTTAATTGAAAGAAGAGTTGTGCAACACTGCAACTAAATTTATCTTCTTCCCGATGCTAGCACATAGATTGTGGTGCTAGAATCTAGATGCTTCTTTCTCTTCCCCTGACCCTCATTATTGACTTCGTTTGCTTTTTCTGTGCTGGGTTTTCGGTGCGCCAATTTGAACGTTCCAGCTCGTGTTCCTTAACGAATTGAAACACGAATGAAACCTGAATTGGAACGAACAAATTCAAATGAGATTCGTGGGGGTGGGGGCGAATTAGGTAACACAGGACAGAACTATCTTATGCTTTACGCACTACAATATCAAATTAATGATAAATGCATACAGCCACCTTTAGGTATATGGATATTAGACATGGTTTTTCATAGCTCCTATATTCTCTTCCCCTTTCTTTTTCATTTTCTTATTTATTTATTTGTTTGTTTTTACAATATTTTGATGCAAGATTTGCATTGCAGAGTTCAAACTTGTACTATTTTGTCTTCTCAGGGTATTGTTTTTACAATATTTTGATGCAAGATTTGCATTGCAGAGTTCAAACTTGTACTATTTTGTCTTCTCAGGGTATTGCGCTAATAATCACAGTTCTGCAAATTGTCCACGTTCCTAATCTCAAGGTTCCATTTGCTTCATCTCATTTGTATTTTAGACTTTTATGAATTTCTACTCTCTTTGGAATGTCCAAAGTAATTGAATATGTACGTTTTCAGAGATACTATATATTGGAAATGAGTTTGTTATTATATTATAATTCTGGCTGGTTTGTGAATCAGGTGGGAACAATTCTACTCAGTTGTGCCTTCTTATATGACATATTTTGGGTGTTTCTTTCAAAGGAGTTGTTCCATGAAAGTGTGATGATTGTGGTAAGTAATCTACCTTATTCAACGTTAGCCCATATGCTCCATCAGAATTAGAAGTTTTAGTCTTTAGACTATTCTGGATATTCAAAATCCGAAAGTGACATCGATTGCTTGTGTCTATTTCATAGGTAGCTCGTGGTGATAAAAGCGGAGAAGATGGCATTCCAATGCTACTGAAGATCCCACGCATGTTCGATCCATGGGGTGGTTATAGCATAATAGGATTTGGTGATATCCTTTTACCTGGATTGCTGATAGCATTTTCACTCAGGTTTGAATTTTGCTTTGCAGTCTTCACTTGCAAAATATTTCATTCCTGTTAATGTTTGTTCATCCAAACCTGTTCCTTAAATTTGTACCTTTTGTTTTAATGCTTCTTCGAACTATGTGTTTGCCTTCCGCTCTGGATAGTTTTTCTTTAGGGTATTCAGCTGGCTCAAAAAGTGTTTTCTTTGGGACAGTGGTGCTTGAAGAGTTTTCTTCGAACTATATTTTAATTATTTACGTTATAAAACGGTATTTCAGAATACATTTATGCCCAATGTAGTTTTGAAATAGTTCTATGATAAATCACATCAAGAAAACTGGTGTCCAGCGATTATTATCGTATTCATATTTGGTGTCTTTCAAGCTGCAAATTGAGTCTAACTGGTAGTAATTAATGCAAATTTCGGATAATCTTCCCTGCCAAAGGATTACCCAAAAATTCTCTTATCCCTTCCTCTCATGGAGCTGAAACAAATGGCGACCTTATCTTTTTGTGCTAGTTTTCAAATGTTGTAAGAATACTGTCTTGGTTACAGGTACGATTGGCTTGCAAACAAAACTCTTCGATCGGGATACTTCTTGTGGGCAGTCGTTGCGTATGGTTTAGGTAAGAGATGATAAAAAAAAGCATATAGTTTTACTTTTGGTTTTGGCACATGAGAAATTTCTATTCCTTTTTCACCTGTGGCAGGTCTACTCATTACATACGCGGCACTAAATTTGATTTTATTCCGTAGGTCGCCCTTACTGTGAGCTGACAAATTTTCATGTCTTGTTGCAGGAACCTTTTTGACCCTAGGAAGAAAGAGGGGTGATCTAAGAGTACTGTGGACAAGAGGAGTACCTGATAGACCCTGTCCCCATATCCGACTCGAAAACCAACACAGTGACGAGATGAACGGCGAACATTAAGACCTTTTCTGTAGTTACAGAGTTGGTTGGGGCTGTGGCTGTGGCGGAGGCTGATGTTCATAACTTCTGCTATTGCATGAATCTTGACTTCTTTTAAAGCTATCGATTAGCATTTGTGTTTAAATAATATAATAATATGCTTATCAGAGTTGCTTCCTAAATAATTCACATGTTTCAGCCCACCAGCTGCTTCATTTTGCTGCAAGTATTCTGGGTGTGTAAATTTTTTAGAAACCTACATGTTCAGTAGTGGAATTTCAAGAGCTTTGAACAGTTTCTAAATTCTTTTTACTTTTATTTAATCTGTAGAAGCAAATATGAGCATGTTTGATACGACTATGAGAGGGTTAAATTATTTATTCTAGACAAAAATTCTGGTGTTCTAGTCTTGTAAAAGATTAGGATGAATAATTTGACCCCTCTCGTACTCGTATTAGTGTTAGAAATCTGTAGGTGGAAAAGCAAATAAAATAAAATATGTGCAAGAACAAGAATTAACATGGTTCGGTTCTGCCTAGCTCTATTAATGGGAACAACAAATAATCCACTATAAAATTTGAGATCTCAAAGGATACAAATATATGATATTTCATATCAAAACTCAAACTATTATATAAAATTAATGTGTACCATAAACGTCGAAAGTTATAAACACTTCAAAATGATTATATTTATTCAAAATAATTCATTTTCATAATTGTAAAAGTTAAGACTCTCTCTGGTAATAGAATCAAATATTTGATCATCAAAAATTATTATTTATTAAAAAAGTTTATAATATAAATTTAATTATCAAATAATTTGTTACTAGTAAAATTATAATAAATTTAGCTTAATTTTTTAACAATGATGATTGGATTTCATTAATAAAAACAATAGAAAGAATCAGAATTACAACGCACTCAAAAATAAAGAGAAAATTGGAGAAAATAGTAAACAAAAACTCATACAAAAATAAAAAATATTGAACCCAAATATATGAAGAGAAACATAATATTTCATTGAAAATGACGACAAACATTAAAAGAACACTGTAACCTTCATAAAAATTGATTATGTCAAATGAGAAGCTTTACGAAGTGATAAATGAGTAATGAGTGAACCAAGCTCTCCGGAAGACTGCTTTGATACACAATTCTGATTATATCGACACAACCTTTTACTAAAGAGGGGATTTGACTATACATAAACAGCGACAAATCATTCAGAAAATAAATATCGTGATGATTTTTGTGTAAACACCAAAATGAATAAAACGTACAAGAAGATTATACCAAAAACTACAAGGATAAGAGTAAAGAAATTACGTTTCTAAAGAGCAAAGTAAAACGAGTCACAAGTACATAGATTATTATTTAAAATTAACAAAATTCTAGAAAAAGAAACAAAAGGTATAATATAACAAAATAAGAGAACCAATAATCATATGTGGTTGACAATCAATATTAAAATAAATGACAAAATTTTAGGAAAAAAATTAGGTTAAAGAAAGAGGAAACGATTAACCCTCGGTTTTTTATATTATATTTTATAAATACATATAATATTTTAATATTTATATAAGTGAATGAGAAAATAAAAAAAATTAATTAAATTCAATTTAGCGTAAATTACACGTTTAGTACCTAAATTATGAGTTTTGTTTCATTTTAATACCTAAAGTTTCATTTGAAAATCATATCTAACATTTACTTTTTGTTTCATTTTAGTAACCGTCGTTAAAAATTTAACGACATTGCATTTTATAGGTAAATTACATCATTCATCACTCAACTATCTTTCCACTCCTATTTTGGTCACTAAAGTTTAAACATTTCAATTTAATTACTCAATTTTCAAATTGCTGAAGTTTGAATCACTCTAATTTATTTTATTAATAACTTGTATGACATGGAATTTTTTATTATTAATTTATTAGTATACAAGTAAAATATAAAAAGTAAATATGAAAGTTAGAGTGATTAAATTAAGAGTAATCTGAAAGTTAAATAATTAAATTTAAAAACATTTAAACTTAAGTAACCAAAATAGGAGTGAGAAAATAATTTAGTAATGAATGTTGCAATTTACTCATAAAAATGCCACGTTCAACAGTTCCGTAAAATTTTTATGGTGAGGTATCAAAACGAAACAGAAAGTAAATATTAGGTATGATTTTGATACAAATGAAAGTTTATGTACTAAACTGAAACAAAATTAATAATTTAGATACTAAATATGTTGTTTATGCTATTTTTAATCTATAATATAAGCGTAATTATATTTGTAAGTATTAATAATATAAATTTTAAATAACTATTATTAAAACTAAGTGTAACTACACATTAATATCTAAACTATCAGTTTTGTTTTGTTTTAGTACCTAAACATTCTCATTTGTTTCAAAATCATACAATGTTTTTTTTTTTGTTTTATTTTGGTGCCTTTCCGTTAAAATCTTAACGAAATTGTTGAACATGGTACATTTTTCGGATAAATTGCATTATATATCATTTGATTATCTTCTTACTCCTATATTGGTCACTGAAAGTTTTAAGAGTGAGAAAATAATTGAATTATAAATTATATAATTTAATCAAAAAATACAGTATTGTTAAGTTTTTAACGACGACATATTAAAATGAAACAAAAGATAAACATTAAATATGATTTTAAAACAAATAAAATTTTATATACCGAAATGAAATATTGATAATTTAAGTACTTAATTAATGTATAGTGTGCCCTTTAATTTAATATCTAACATAATAACATGTTCTGTAAAATCTTGCAAGGATAACGACAGCTCAAGTTTAACGATTCCGGAGAATTATTTCTGTGGTTTAAAGAAGAATGATTAACATGAATGCTTCAATAATGTCCACATGCTGAAATTATTGAATGAAGAAGAAAGGATGTTTGTTGGTTGTTCATGAGAGCTCTGGACCAAAATAACTTTTGTGAAGAGTCAAACGGACCATTAGGCAGTTGCCAAGTGTCAAGCTGACATCCACTTGTTTACCAAAGAAACACAAGTTAAAGACCAAACTGTCTTGTACCAAAGAAATTTTAAAGAAGTGGTGGTTAGGTGTGTAATAGTAATAATAATACTAGAAAGCTCCGGAATAAATTAGGTTTTGAAGTAATCCATGTTGGCAAGGAACTAAAACTAGAAGGATGCACAACCATAAACCATCATAAAATATTTAGGATACGTTTAGTTCAAGGAATGTAAAATTACTAATAGAAATAAAAGATTATCGGGGAATATGATTACTAGGAATATTGTATTTTGTGTTTGGTTCATTTAGCATGAATGTAAGATTACAGTGTTTAGTTAAAGGAATAAAAGATTATCGAAATGTATATTTGACCAAATTATCCTTATTATACATTTGATTTTTAATAAGTTGAAAAATATTTATATATTTTCTTTAAAAAATTTAAATTCATAAAATTTATATAATTTTTTTACAAAATTAAAAATATAAAAAGGTTTAATGAAAGGGTAAAATTTTATTTTAACCACTGAACTTCATATAAAATTTTAATTATAGATTTTTTTTGTAAATCTAAAATAGTTTAAGGATAAATTTGTAATTTAACCTTCGTAGAATTTTTATTATTCAATGACAGAATAATGATATTTTTGAAAAAAAAAATTAAGGGCATTTTAGTCCAAAACGCCTGTAATCCAACAATACTTAAGGAAAGGAATGTAATGACATTCCCAGTAATATATCCCAAAAAATCCATTATTGGTAATAAAATATTACCGGGAATGACATTCCCGGCCAACCAAACAGGGGAATGTGGATTCTATTCCCATGGAAATCTCACATTCCTCGAACCAAACAACCCCTTAAGGTAAATTAACAATCAACTTTGATCTATTTTAACAATTAAATTTTTTAAAAACATATTTAAATTTTTATTTTTATTTTATTTTTGTATTTCTATTCAAAATTTAACTTTAAGTTTTGAAAGGAAAAAAAATAAAGTTTAAGTATTAAAACATATCAAAATTGATAGTTTAAGTACACTATTAAGTTTTTAATGCAACATATTAAAATTTTACTTTTTAATATCGACCACATTGATATCTAACGTTTACTTTTGGTTTTATTTTAGCAACCGCCCTTAAAAATTTAACGACATTGCATTTTATGGGTAAATTACA